AAATTTAGTTTAATAAACATTTATATGTTAACTCCTCTGTCCCTGAATATGCACTTAAATCCCCAACATGCCATTTAGACAGATAGAAAATCCAGTATTTCAGGGTGATCATGAATTTATGATGCTAAATTATAAGAAACATGACTGGAGAGGAAGTGAATTTGATGTGTCCATGTAAATTTGCTGGGAAGATATGGAAAAACTAAAAGGGCATTTTGGAAAGGGACAGTCATTGAAACATATAAAGCAAGTTTATGTTCAATAAATTTTATAATGGCTCCATTGACTATATCAGAAATTGTGGCAGTCAGAGAAGCAGAGACTAGAAAGGGAGATAGAATCAAAATTTAATACTGATTTCTCTCTCTTTTTCTTTCTTTTTTTTTTTGGTCTTGTATAAAAAAGTCAAGCCCTCTTGTTACCCTTTCAGTGATTTTCTAATTAATTGTGGGGAACAGCACCCATAGTTCTTCTTAGCATTTAAATGTATAAATATGAACTCCAACAACATGTTACAGCTCTACCAGACTTTCAGGTTGAAATCTTGAACAAAAAGAGGAGAGACACCTTGGGGACTAAGGTTCGAATTGTCTTGCTAGAACTCAGTCCCACTTTCTCTCACCTTCAAAGCTGTCTTATGATTACCCACCATGTAATCTCTCTTTGTTCCCAAGTCTTCTATATAGACTGTTTTGGAGAAGGGGTTTGATAATCTGCATATGAGAGTAGAGGTAAATGAGCAACCAACATGGAGAGTTCCATTAACTGACTTTAAAACAGCAGATTAGCTTTTAACTATGATCTTGGCTTGCCTAGTTTTGGCAGGCAAGCAGCATGTAGACAGAAATAATATTTCCTATACTTTTGAAAGCATATCCTCATCTTTGGTTTTTCCATGTACAAAGAAGGGCAGACAGTCTTACAGGGTTTTGATATAAAAATATAAAACCATGGCATTCATTTTGTGATGATGCCAGTACACAGATAGAGGAATAGAGAGAAAAAGAGAGAAAACAACTCCTTTTCTTCAGAATGCCAAGAAGATATAACATTCTTAACTGCATATCAGTCTTTGGTATTTACTTGGGTAAAACATCTTTCCTGATTCCTCAGCTTCCTTGCTCCTGTTCTAATTTCACATAAAAGCATTGCCCTAGGGTCCTTGCTTTAACATTATTTTCTTCTTCAGCATTAATTTCAGAGACCAAACTCAGGCCCTTAGTTATAAATATCTAGGCAACTATTAAAAAGTTTTTTTTGAGGGAGGGTGGGGGGAGGGTTGAGCCACATCCATGTAGTGCTAAAGGTTACTCTTGGTTCCACACTCAGGAATCACTTCTGGTGGTGCTCAGGGTCCCATATGGGATGCCAGGAATCAAACTTGGGATTGGCTGCATGTGAGGCAAGAACTAGCCCCTGTACTGTTGCTCTGAGCCAAACTTCTTATTCTTTTTTTTTATCAGATAGCTATTCAGACAACTTCTTTGGGTGGGGGGCGGTGATCAGTAGACCTATTTTTATATTATTTATTTGTCACATGTTATGGATAAAATTGCAAAAATAGTAAAGGGGAAATTATGGGTGTCTCAGTGTATGGATCCACATAAATATACACAATCCAGCTACTTGGTGTGTGTTTTTAGATTCAGCCACTGTCTTCGTATATGTTGCAGAAGAATTGATAGGTTAACATTTAATGGTCTGTATTTGCTATTACATGTCTATCTAAACAGACTCTTACATATAATTTTCAGCCTATAGATTATTACATGTGAGCCCCACCCTGTTTTCTGATGCTAAGCGATTACTCCTAGTTCTGCACTCTTGCCTGGGATAAAACCTGGGTCCGCTGCATGCAAAGCAAGCACCCTGCCTGCTGTTGCTACTCTCACCCTGTCCCCCAAATAAATTTTTAAGCCAGTGGATCACTGACTTCCAGATTTTTTCTTTTATATTTACTTTGAGATTATAGAATTATTTTATTGGAAATAAATTATTAGGCAAAGATGGTTTGATACAGTGAAATAGGAGCAAATTTTAGAAGGCAGAAAGAGTTACAACTAGGGTTTCTGTACATGCCATACTTTGGGATGGAGTGTAAGCTAAGGCAGATTAGAGTTGGGTAAAAGAGAAATGAATAGTCTTGATGAAAGTGTCTCTGTACTCCCTGATATTGTGTTGAGTTTTATTGTCTTACACCTGAAATGTTGGGCTCTAAATTGAGTTTGTTGTTTTAAATAGTGACTCATAAAATTAGAACTCTAAATACACAACTATAAATATATGACTCACTGTTGACACAATGCAATAGTGATTTTTAGACCAAACTCTGCAGCGTACATGATTAGACCAAAGTATATAGCAAACAGAAAGAAATTTACATATATAATACTGGGTTTTCTAGGTTAGGGAGAGAGAAAAAGCTAGTTGTAAGTTAGATATTTAATCCTCTCAGTAGCTAATTGTCTAGTATTCATTCTACCAGATAATACAAGGGACATAAAAACTTCACATGTATACATTGTGTATTTGTGGTTTTGATCCAGTTGCAATGGAAGTTTAACCAATGAAAGATGTGAATAAGAGCATTTTATAAGCAAATTGGTTTATTTGACTAGGTGCCTAATATATAGAAAACTGTGATTTTCATAAGCTCTCTAAAAGTCCATTTGGACAAGTTTACATTTGTCTGGGGGAAATGCTGATCTTAGAATATGAAATAAATAAAGCATATTTGCTAGTGAAACTTTCCTTTGGGCTGGGTTTGCTTTACTCTCATCTAGGTCTGTTCATTTGGAGTCATACAGCCTGCCCCATACCTTCCTCTTCCACTATTTGTCACACCTCATAGAATTTTAAAACATTGAAAAGTCCATCTAGGTAATCTTTAGGAAAATATACTTGCCTTTAAAATGTAAACCGATGATTATTTCTAATAGTTCTTCATAAGTAAGCTTTGGCAAAGTATTAACACATTTTTCTAGTAATCCAAGGTAAAAATGCCTTGGAGCCATCGTTTTACACAGGCTGTGCTGTAAAGTGTTCTGTGACTAGAACATTTAGACTGTTTAATAAAAAATTTCATATAGTATCAAATAGGGAAAAAATCCTCACTTGATCTTTAATTCAAGGATTTTTCTCACTGTGCCTAGAAGCGAAGTCTTTTGGTGCTTCAACTTTTGTATTTCCTGGAACAATCACTCTTGTACACAAATATCCTTTTTCCTATGTTAAGAATAAACTGATCTCTTCTCCTTGACCTTACTGACTTTTGTGTTCCTATACCTTCAACATAATTCACCAAGTAAGTCAGGCTTCTGTAGATACTGAATTTTCTGCACTATATGTTGACTTAGAAGCTAAATAATTTAAGTGGGACATTAAAGAGCATGGCTTTAGAGTCTATCTCTACTGTAACTAAGTGTGCATAAGTATATGAATCTTTCTGAACTCTTTAGCTCTGTCCCACAGGGAATTGATATCTTTCCGTTTTGCAAGAAAGTTGAGAAGATAAAATGAAATCATGTAATGGAAAGTACCTAGTATAAATAGCTGCTAATTACTGTATCCTCTATATTTGCTTGCTTTGGACTACTAATTACTTTCTGTAAGATTGACTTGACTCAATTTTCCTAACCTTCACATTCCTAAGCTGCATTATCTTCTCTAGGCATTATATGCTTGAATCCATCTCAAGCAGCTTAAGTGTGTGTAACACCTTATACCTGCTTGTGCGTTTTATGTGAATTGTCACCCCGATCTCCCCCATTCTCTCATAGGGCTCAGCATACTCTTAGGGACATGTGGCCAGGCCATGCATAAGTTAGTCCCTGAGTTCTTTCACAGGCACAGCAAAATGTTACAAAAGAAGTGGAAGAAGACATTCTCTTTCATTTTTCTCCATTTTTTTCTACTAGAATAGTTTTTACTCCTTCCTTTAAAGCTTATATTCCTCCCAAATTGCTGTTCATTGTAGAATTTTCTTGGATTAGTGTAACCTTGATGCCCTTAAAAAAGTTATATTTTGAGCCTTTGCAATATGTTCGGAAGTTATTTTCTTCTAACTTCGTCTTGCCTCCTGACTTTGACATCTGCCTTCATTTGGCCAATAATCATAGTGCTTCCTTGCTTAAATTTTCCAAATAACTGCTTTTTTCCTTGGGTGCATGATAAAGGGGCTGCATTATGCATCCCTGCCCAATGCTCTCCAGCGTTAGAGTTGTTAAAATGAGTTTCTCCAAAGGAGAATTTGAGGAAGACAAAATAAGAGTTCTAGTTTAGCTACTGCATGAGTTTGATAGAAAGAACGAGTTACTATGCTTAACCATGCCAGTAAGACAGTGTTGTTTTCTTTTCTTCTCCTTTTTTTTAATGTGGTCCCTAGAATAGGCAACATGAAATTCCAACTCTGGTCAAAATGGTAGGTAAAACTGTAATCAACAGAAGGTGTGGTTTTCTTGAAGAAAGTTTGAAATTGATACCTTGCTCTCAAATTAATTTTCCATGATTGATGATTTGGCTAGTAGAAAAGTGTGGGGGCAGTCAGACATATTCTATAGAGGAAATATTAGGAAATAGAAGAGTCTTGTGCATCAAGTTGATAGATTAAAAGCAATTTCATTAATTTTTGCTTCATCAGAATACTGTGTATCGCCCAGTCCCTTTCAGATTTGAAAATATCTGCTGCTTCCCAAATCCTAAGGCAGATACTGTGCTTTAAAAAAAGTTCATACAATAGCCATATGACTTAAAAATTATACTCAATTAGTGGGTAAAGAAGCAGAGGCGTATAGAAGTTAAATGTAACTGGTCACACCATTATTACATGATCCCTTCTCTTCAAATCTAGATACTCTTCCTTTTACTGTGCTATTTTGCTTTATTTTAGGTATCCATTTTCGATTGGAGAAAAGCTCCAAGTGAGTTAATTACAGTGGATATAAAAAAAGGAATTCAAATTAGTAATATCATTATCTCTCTCTCTCTCTCTCTCTTTCTAGTTTGTGCAAAGCAGGTAACTGATGAAGCATCTTCCACTCGAGATTCAAGCCTTACTAACACAGCCGTGCAAAGTAAATTAGTGTCTTCCTTTCAGCAACACACCAAAAAGGCTCTTAAACAGGTAAGACAGCTGGCATTTGTTCTTTGTCCTTTGGTTCTGCCTACTTAACGTAATGGGTGTTCTGTGGATCAAGTAAAATGAGTGAGAAACTAGCAATCAGAAGGCAATAGAAATAGCCTGAATTCAGCCACTTTCATAATGTTAGAGTAATTTTAATCTTTGCAAAATGCTCAGAGAGATTTGACTGGGGACTTTAAGGTAAAATGGAAGAGGGAAAATGCTTTCTAAAATATAAAAACTTATTGAGGGTGTGTGTGTGTGTGTGTGTGTGTGTGTGTGTATGATTTATAACAAACATACTGGGTTAATAAATGCCACTGTATTTTCTCTATTGAGAAATAATTTTAATTATGAATAATGTATAAGAGACATTTTCATTTCATGATCTCATGTTAATCTGGTACTTGATGTAAAAAATAGGTTTTTTTTTTCCCTCATTACTGAGAAGAACAAGAGCTGTGACTTACTAATATATAAACGACCCATCAGTGCTATCTGGAGCTCAGTGGAAGTTGATTTTGCAGTATCATCTTCATATTACATAAACAGTCTTGACCTCTGGTGCCCTTGTCCTGAGGTGTTAGCAAACGATTGTGGTTATAAACTTATACTCTAGATTCTTATCCACTTGAATTAAATCCTTCCCACGCTATTGTGTGTTTCTAGGCAGGCTGCTTCTGTGAATTTTACTTTTTTTTTTCTTTTTCTCTAGAGAATGTGGGAAATAATAGTACCTTTTACATATAATTATCGTGGAAATTAAGTGAGGTGATACATTGGAAGCAGATGGCAGCATTCCTGGCATAATAATTGCTCAATTAATGTTATCTGGGCTTGGAAGGTGGCTATAAGGAGGCTAGAGTATGTACATTGCATGAAGGAACTTCAACTCCAGTCTTTGGCACTACATGGTTCCCTAAAGCACCACTGGGAGCCACCACCGAGTGCAGTGTGTGTTAGTCTCGGTGCACCACTGGGTATGACCCCAAGCCCAAAATAGATAAATATTAGGTACTGCTTGTTGCCATATCAACCAATTCTAAATTGTACAGGGAAGATAAAGGTGAGATATCAGGGAGTCATGAAGATGTACAGCAGGAGGGGCACTTGCCCTGCGTGCAGTTGACTCAGGTTCAATCCTCACTACCCTTTATGTCCCTTGAGCCCGCCAGGAGTGATTCTGAATGCAGTCAAGAGTAACCTCTGAGCTCTGCTGAGTGTGACCTCCCAAACAAACAAACAAACAAACACACAAACAAACAAAAAACAAAGGGGAAAAAAACAGATGAGATCATATGGATAGGGAATAGGTGCAGATAATACGTGGCAATGCTAATTTTTTTTAATGGAGGATTTATTTTAAACCCTGAAGTTGTGGTTCCACTTGTTTAGTTTCTTTCCTTTTGCATTTTAAAAATTTATATCTTTCTGGGGCTGGAGCGAAAGCACAGCGGGTAAGGTGTTTGCCTTGCACCCAGTCAACCTGGGTTCGATCTCCAGCATCCCATATGGTTCCCCAAGCACTGCCAGGAGTAATTTCTGACTTCAGAGCCAGGAGTAACTCCTGAGCATCGCCAGGTGTGACCCAAAAAGAAAAAAAATAAAATTTATATCTTTCTCTGATAGCCCCACCGTTCAACCCTTGTTTTCCGCCTTTCAAGTCTAGGAATATAGGTATCACTCTAGTGATAAATTTATAATTAAAGGTAAAGGTAAAGGTAAAGGTAAAGGCCCTCCCGTTGATCGTCGATTTGCTCGAGCGGGCCCAGTAACGTCTCCATTGGAGACTTTGTTGTTACTGTGTCTGGCATATTCAATACTCTCGGTAACTTGCCGGGCTCTCCGAGAGGGGCGGAGGAATCGAACTTGGGTCGGCCATGTTGACCACTTGTAAGACGAACGCCCTACCCGCTGTGCTATCGCTCCAGCCCTAAATTTATAATTAGGACAGAGAAAATAGTTTTCATTGTTGTAGAAGTCCTACCAACTTGTAAACCTTCTGAATATTCATACGAGTCCCTTAGCTTTATTCTTCTACTTTAAACGAAGAAAGGAAGGGAATAAAAAACACTTTTTTTTTCTTTTTGGTACTGAGTTTTGTTACTTTCTATTTGGAATTTATTACTGAAATTTTCCATTTTTTAATTTATGGATGTTATGTGGCAAGATAGTAAATTGGATTAGGAGTTGCCATTTATATTGTTTGTGTGGAATCGTTTAGATACCAAGAGGAAAATTGAATTCATTGTTCAGATCCGATTTTAATTGATGAAATAAAGGGTGGATAATGGTATAAAAGCTAGGAAAAGGCTTATTCAGGCGGTTAATAGTTTGTAGGTAATAAAAAACTAACCAAGATAGAACAATGGATACAAAACTGAATGTGGATAGTAGTGGTATTTAGGCAACTTAAATGAAATGAATATTTCTGGAAGCTTCTGATGTAGAAAATGTGTACACCATGAAATCTCTTTGTATATGAATGCAGTGATGGGGATTCCAGTCTCTGCTTTGTCATGTCTCATTATTTTTTACTTTCTTCATTTTCATTTCATGGTAATTAAACATTTTTTACAACTTCTAAAACACTGCACACATTTGAGTTAGTGGTTCTTAAGATTTTTGTTTCGTTGTGCCGCATGTGTTTATGGGAAGTACCACTTGCTTCCTACATACCGACCTAGACCCAGCTGAGTAACCTGTCTGATAAGCTTTTTAAAGTCTTAGAAGTGTTATTTATTCCGATTTTAAAAATTCCTTTCATATATCCTAGTAACAAATTAGCTACCAGTAGAATGTGGCACAGCATATAACAAATATGCTAATGTTTGATTAATAACCAAATTCATATTGGAAATACATTTAGAAGAAAAGCTGTTCTTGCAGAATTTTGCGCAGATTCCTTGTAATTGCTGAATTTCTTAAGACAGCATTTCAAAAATTGACTGAACTTGCGGCATTTTAAATTGTAGCCGAATCAGCAAATCTGCAGCTTTCTTTTCTTTTGGATAGTTTGGATTGCTGTAACTACATAGAATTTTTTGTGTTCAATGTATGTTCATGTATAGATAGGTGTGTTGTGGTTATAAATAGTTTATAATATATCGTGTACAAATTATATTGTTATAAGCATAAGGCAAGGTAAATAACTTTAGCAATAAGTTTGTTAGCTGACATTTGCATTTCTGAATTCTAAAACTTATGTTTCATGCTTTACATGTACTATGCCATTTCATTCTCTTATGAATCTTTTAAAGCATCTGCCTTTTGCAAATAAGCAAACAAAGGCCCAGAAATATTAGATAATTTGCTCAGGATCACCCAGTGATAAAATCTTAGAGCTGACTTTTGAACCCAGGATCCTCATTTTAGATTCTGCCTCTTACTTAATACTTTCTTCAGCATATAACCTGTAATAGGGCAGCAGAATTTTTGACAATGTCGCACTGTAGCACTTTCCTCCCGTTGTTCATCTATTTGCTCGAGCGGGTCGAGTAACATTTCCATTGTGAGACTTGTTGTTACTGTGTTTGGCATATCGAATACTTCACGGGTAGCTTACCAGGCTTTGCCATGCGGGCGAGATACTCTTGGTAGCTTGCCGGGCTCTTCAAGAGGGGCAGAGGAATCAAACCCAACTCTGCCGGGCTGGCTGCGTGTAAGGCAAACGCCGTACCACTGTGCTATCACTCCAGCCCTATACTGGGAAATTTTCATTTATTAGTATTTGTATACTAAGCAAATAGATGGACAACAGGAGGACAGTGACAATATTTGTATAGATAAGAAAGTAATAGAAATTAGTCAATATCATTTATGAACACAAATTATTTATATTCAGTACCAACACATCTTAATAACAAGCATTCATATATATTAGCTCTTAAAATTTTCTAAATATATATTTTAAATTAAGTTTTAATAGTTTGATTAGACATTGACCAATACATATATTTAGAAGAAAAGAAACAAAGCAAAACTCAGAATCCCAGGGGGAATGGAGGGATAGTAACTGATAAGGTAATTGACTTTTATGTAGCTAACCCAGATTTGAGCACTAGTACCTCAGAAGTTTCCCCAAGCTCCACCAGCAGTTATTCCTGAGCACAAAGACAGGAGTAAACCCTGAGAACTGCTAATATGTGACTCCAAAAGCAAAATCCAAATCAAACAAACTCAAAGCCCAGTAGCTTTATAAGGCTAAGCATAGTGAAGAATATTCACTTAAAATTAATTTCCATGCAAAATGCACTAGCCGTTAATCCCCAGATCTGAAGCTGCCATTTCTCCACTCCCACCCCCACCTAAACATGCAGGGTCTGCCAAGGGCCGTTTGGATATTTATAACATTATTCACAGGCCATATGATCCTGGCAGATGGGACAAGGACAACTGATGAGATGCATACGTGTCTGTGCTGTCACGTACCAGGACCACACTCATGATTTCATGGGCCTTATACGCCCCATGTGCTGGACATTCCCTCCTCCAGATACGGAGAGTGGGTTGTCTGCTTTGTAGTATTATTGATTGCAGTCTAATTATAGGTTGGACAATATGGAAGCTATAATGGCCTTGGCTATTGATACAGAATATTTTCACTGCTCAAAATATTTGGATCTCTTTTCCTTTCTGTATTCAAAAAGTTAGTTGAAATCATATGTTGTGTATAATTGCATGAATAATATATCGCTATTTCAGTAGTACTTTTTTTTCTGAATAAGCATATTCAGAACACGCGTATTCAGAAGCCTCTGGAGAATAGCAGATTGCTGATCATTACCTAGTTTCTGATCTCTCTACCTTGTTATTTCGGTTGTAATGAGCCTAAAAAAGTAGGAAGTGGTTGAAATTTGAATTTTAAAGAATGACAATTAGGAAAGATTAAATTTTGTAAGTTTTAAACAGCAAAGGCAAATGAAAGATTTAAAAAAGAGTAATTTAATTAAGAATCTGCCTGCATGAGAGGTGACAGAATGGAGGAAGAAGAGAAGTTTTCC